AGGCAGAGGCAGAATTCCCCCCCCCTTATTTTCCTCCCCAAAAACTAAGATTGACCATGTCGTTTCATAGTGAAGCATTGGGTATCCCGCTAGTAGTGTATAATTTATAGTTTAGTATTAGTCCTTGACTTATGGCCATTGGGACCAGGATTTCTGTTGCTAAGCAAGGCAGGAGTTAACTGAATCCGGACAGATTTTGCAGCCTTTTGTTATCCTGGGTGTTTCATTTCAAAGGCCGGGGTGGGGCTTCCTTGCTCTACCTGTCCGACAGGTCTCGACAGGTGGGCTGTTCAGTCTGGGCTTGCCGGAGACAAAGGCGGCATTTTAGAGGAGGTTTCCACGGTCGGATGCTATGGGGAATTGTGCAAACAAAGCCAGAGGAACTGGACGGATGAGGAGATTAAAAATAATAATAATAACAAGCCAGAAGCAGAATGTAGCACCAAAATAGAATTAGGGTTGGGGTGTGGGGGACGCGGGGAGGAGAAATGAGATATCCAAAAACCTGTCCTTCTATTGTGAAAGCAATTGAAAATCAAGAATAAATAATCTTCCTCCTTCTCTTCCTCCTTCTTCTCTTCCCTCCCTTCCTTTTCTTCTTCCTCCTCCATCCATTTCTCCTCCTCCATCTTTCCTTCCTTCCTTCCTTCCTTCCTTCCTTCCTTCCTTCCTTCCTTCCTTCCTTCCTTCCTTCCTTCCTTCCTTCCTTCCATCTCCTTCTCTTCCTTCTCCATCTATCTATTTCCTTTCTCCCTCCCTTTCCTTCCTTCTTCCCTTCCTCCCATTTCCTCCCCTTCCATCCATCCATCACCTTCTCTTCATTCTCCTCCATCATCCATCCATTTCTTACTGCCCTCTCTTTTCTTCCTTCCCTTTTCTTCTTCCCTTCCTCCCCTCCTTCTTCCCCATCCACCTATTTATCTATCGAGCCATCTTCCTCCCTTCCTCCCTTCCCCCTCCCTTTCCTTCCCCATCCATTTATTTATCTATCTAGCCATCTTCCTCCCTTCCTCCCTTCCCCCCTCCCTTTCCTTCCCCATCCATTTATTTATCTATCTAGCCATCTTCCTTCCTTCCTTCCTTCCTTCCTTCCTTCCTTCCTTCCTTCCTTCCTTCCTTCCTTCCTTCCTTCCGGC